TCTTGTATTAATTATCAGATACCACAATTTACAGTACCAATTAAAAGAAACTAAGTTACATAGTTATGATAACATCTTTAATTTTCACTCAAATTGAGGCAAAATGAAGCTGTATATGTACATGTAATGGAAGGCTTCACTTGCCACTGATTAGTGGAATGACAGATTGGATCTAGACATAATTAAAAATGTCATATTGCACAGAGCCCAGTTGTTTTTAGCGAGGCCAATGAATATTATTCCAGGGTTAAATTTTAATTATTTGTTCCTGATTCCATCTCGTCATTTGAAAGCTTTTTTCATATGATTTTCTTCATTCTTTTTGAGGCATTCAATCATCACATTGAGGGCAAAAAAAAGCCTAATATTGAACTTTCTTTTAGAGCTTACAGATCTTAATTCAGATTTCACACTTAAAGCTTGGGTTATCTTAGCCCAGCATTGAACAATAAATGCAACGTTCTTTTTGTGATAATTTACGAGAACTTTGTCTGCAAGTTGAGAAAAAAAAGCTGACGCATATGGTTTTTATTTATGATGAATATAATGGAGATGATGGTAAAATTCAAAATTTAAAATTTTTTGTCAAACTTACCCATTTCCCATGGCTCCGTTTGCTGGTTTAACAATGAAAGTTTTGTGTTTCTTTCTTTTTTTCAGTTCTCTACAATAGCCTTGAAATGCAGCATATCTGATACAGAAAAGATGGGCAACAAGCTAAGGAATTAGTACTTCACATTATCATAATTGCATTCATCTGGTGACATATGAAAAAAAAATCAATCATTGTAATTTTCTTTTGATCTGTTTCCTGAATTATTATAACTTAGAGTAACTACACTTTTATTTGATTCAATTGTTTAATAGTCAACCTGCAAAAATACACATACTGTTATGGTCTGTAAAATTTAAAGAGTGTGTACCAGTACAGTATTTAACTATGTGATCATTACCTCTGACTGATACATAATTTTTTAGACATCTAAACTGAAATCAGAGTAATTCTCCCATTAGAAGTTTCACATTCTTCAGGGCTTGACACTAACTTAAGTTTTCAACTTACTAGCCAAGAGGCTGTAGTGACAACTTAGATGCTACAACAATTTCTGTTTAATGTTTACAAGCCAAACTGGCTAGTGGAAATTGAAAACCATGACTGCATGGCCAAAACTGAATTTCTATTAGTCTGTGGCTACCTGGCTTAAACATAAAGGCGTGCTATATAAGGAAGTCTTCCCTGGGAAGACCTAGGCTCATTTGTCACTCACTGTTAACGTGTGCGAGTCAAATTTAAATGTTGGTAGACAAACAAAAGGAACAAATGAGATATCTATTGTTTACTTCCACCAGCATGGTGGCATGAGGAAACGTGCGAACCACCTACTTCGATCTCAAATTTACCGCCACAAAATAATAAACACAGTTTATATAGGAGAAAGGAAATACAAATCTCAAAAATTCTAGTATTGTGATGAAGACGAAAAACAATTTTGAGGAATGCGCCCGCTGTTCACTGCTTTGGAGTAGCTGTAGCTCAAGCTGACTTGACTCTAAGAGTTCTACATCACAAGACGGTTGATTGACAAATGGTCCAGTGGGACCTAAGGCTCCTTTCATGGCGTGCCTTCATGTTTAACCATCAGTGTCAAGCCCTGCTTACCATACTATAACCACTAAATATCAGTTTCCACT